ATGGGGTCACAAAGGTCTCCATCAACACTCGGACCCGCACCGCAGACTTAACATGCCTGCAAGCTGTCTATTCTGCCTTCCTCGTTATGCTGAGTTTACCGTGCTCTGATTTCAATTTAAATGTTTTTAATTGGCATAAGTGTTTAAGGGTTACAGGCATTAAAAGTGCCACAAGATCCTTTTTTTTTCTTTCAACAATAGAAATTATTTCTAGACTCGCCTCCATGTACACAAGGGTGCAGATCTGTAAATTGTATGAGAATTTCTATGTTCTTTTAGGATGGTGCATTATTTTAACATCGCTTTTCATTTTAAAATGCAGATATTACTGCTTTTGCCTCTGTGATGCCCCAAATCAACTCTTTCAGTTGTTTAATGAAGGAACTAGAAAGCTGGAGACCGAGACCATCCCCACTCTTGTGTTTCTGATCATCATGGATGGGTGTGGAAGCTGGGCAGTAAAGAAATCAAAATTGATTTGTTTGAAATGACTGAGTTGATGGCACTGGACTACAATAGTAAGGAAATGATTCAAGAATCCATTTTGCTCTTTATCCCTCTGTCTGTGGATGGTAATTTTTCAAAGAACGTGCATGGCTAATGCAAAAGTGAATTTGGAAACTAAAACATGATGTTCCATGGTAACATATCCCAACCCAGTAAGAGAAAACTGTGGTTCAGAAGCCTTTTCCGTAACTTGCTGATGTGGATAACCTGCCTGTCTCTGCCATGATCACGCATTAGCCTCACGGAACTGTTTGGATCAATATTGCTGCGATGGGAACGACATCTCTCTATGAATGGAAAAGCATTTCAGCATTTCATTTATCGATTCCAAGGCAGCCGGGCCTACGAGTCTTCTCAGAGAGGGCCTGATATGGAACATGTCTGAGGCTCAGTAAACAGATTTCAGAATAGTGGGCAATGCCCCCCACTTCTTTCCTAGAAAATATGTGAAAATCATCTATTTGAGAGGAGGACATGCTCGGAGGCTTAGGGCTAAATCCAAGCGTTTCGGTTCAGCTTTTAACATAGTCTATGTTCACTTCAGGCTTCACTGCCACGTTAAAGTCACTTGTGTGACAACTTGCGTGGCATTTATATAATTCACACAAAACCTGTGCATGGAGCTTGCTTTCTAAGGAGGCAAGTGGATACTTGAAATCTGTTGGCAAAATTAAGGGGAGACAAAGCAAGAAAGAATGAAGATGTGATCCTGGATGCTCAACGGTTTAGGTCTCTTGTCTGTGGAACCAGAGGTCGGGAGTTTGATTCCCCCCCTTGGTGCCTCCTGGATAAGGGCTGGGCTCAATGATCTGCAGGGTCGCTTCCAGCTCTTGTTGTTCTAAGATCAATGCCCAGTGACAGCGTATAATATTTATTTATTACCATGGGAACTTTCATGGATTAAAATCCTCTTCGTCAAAAGACACCTGGATTTCAGACGAGTCTGCAAATCTCCCATTGAAATAAATCAGCCTTTGAAGCATCGCAGCCGTTTATCCATTCTCCTTGCTGACTTTACGCCAGCAACCCTTTTTTCCCCCTCCCTTCTGAGCAAGGAGGCCCCGAATTCAGATCTCACCTCAACCAAAACCGTCCTACCGCCTCGGTCAGGGAACACTTGAAACGCCCTGCATGGAGAGGAGTGATTATTCTCGGTGCTGGCAGGGTTGTGTTTTGAAGAGCATGATTGACTCCAGAATCGTTAGAAGAGACGGCATATCTTGATCTTCCCCTAAGAACATTCTTGACATACACCACGCAATCTGGACTGCGTTTTCTGCCAAAGCGAAAAAAAAATAAAGGATGCCAGCTCTTTTGCTTCCAACCCTCATCACCCTTTCTGGCTTTCCAGTCGGGTTTTATTATGCCTTAATTTCATCTCACATGCTTTCCTGTTCGTGCCTCTTCCTTGGCGTAGAATCAAGCTCATTAAAACACTCCTCCTGCCTGTCAGTCCTAGCGAAAGGGGTTCTGTTTTTCCCCTCGTCTCAGTCCGGCTTACCTTTTATTTCGCATCTGCTCTTTCTTAGCCCATGATAGACCCTCCCTCCCACTCGAAAGCAAAGACGTGAGATGGGCCCATAGCTGGCCATCAAGGACCCTGGACTCTTGCATGTCATCGGTCAGCGCGATTTTTTTGTCTCAGCCTTTGTATCTGGCTGCCCTTCGTGTTGGAAACTTATCGTTTGTAATTGGGGGGGCCCTGGCTTCGGTCAGGCTTTGGATGGGCTTTTGTGCACCCTTCAAAATCTTTCCACTCCAATCTCTAGGAACAAAGAGTCTGCTTGGTTCAAAATTTAAAATTTCTCACTAGGGATCCCTTGAGAGCCTGTAAAACTTGTATGAGGTGCGAGGGCAGGAAATCTCAGGGCCATGTATCTTCCTCTGGGAGCACACCAGACCACTAGATATACTTGTCTCCTGATCCTTCTCTTTCCCTGCCTTTGGCATTTGGAGGTACCTTTCTTTGAAGGCTGGAGATCGTACATCCCTATCATGGCTTGTCACCTGCAATGGACTTTTCCTCCAGAAATCTGGACCCATCCCCTTTTAAAGGCATCTAGCCCAGATGCCATCACCACGTCCTTTGGCAAGGAGTTCCACAGACTGATCACGCTGGGTTAGCATAGGTCATCTGATCCCAGTCTTCTCCATTCAAGTGACATGTGCTCCAAGCCTGTTGCATTTCTACATATAGTCTAGACAGACATTAGCACATGCAGCTTTACATAAATCAGGACCCTTTCCTGCCTTCTTTTATTGGTGATTCATATCCTCTATTTTTAAACAAGGCTTGGAGCAGCCACCCTAGCGGAGGTGTAAACATCTGTTTAATAATCTTGGATTTTATTTTTAAAATAATCTGAAATTTGGACCATTTTGCACAGGTTTGCTTCACGGATCAACCGCCTTTTATTTTATTCCCGTTGGAGAACCTTTTGAAGACCTTTCTGAGGAAGCCTTTGGTGTGAAAGCTATTCCAAGAAACCTGCTGTGAAGCAAATGAATTGGCAGGGGATGGTTTGACAGATCTCAAAAGGCTGTTAAACTGTCAAGTGTAAATGAATGGCCTTCGTCCCGTGCGTGTTTATCTACATTTTCCCCCTTGTCAAATAGGGTTTAGCCTGGAGGTGGGTGGTGCTAGAGAACAGGGTATCTGTGATTCGCAGCTTTCTGAAACTATTATTCCATACACGGATATTTGTAGCCTTGGTAGCAATGACAAGACTGCATGAATTCACCGACACATGTGATGGTGAGCTCGATTTAAAAAGAAAAAGAATGTGGTTCAGTTGCTGGAGCTATTGCACGAAAATAAAAGCCTCTGTGACACCCCCAAAAAACCCCTTCCCCTCCAGAATCAGAAATCACCCTTTAATTGGTTTGGATTTTAAACACGCCACACATTCTGGGCTTGGTTTCAGCTTTACAAGGGCTTTTTAAGGAAAGCAAGGATACCAGCTGTTCACTTCCTGTTTCCAAAAAGGGGATTCACAAGCTCTTAACGCAGGTCTGGGCGTTATGGTGGCAATGCAATGCAAGTGACATTGGGAAAGGCTGCAGTAGGCACGTTGGTTGTCTTATAACGTGGGGTTCCCGACCATGGGTCCCCTTCCCTGCAGGTCCTGGCCGGCCCAGCAAGCGGTGGAAAGGCTTCTGGGAGTTTTAACCTTAAGGGCATCTGGGGGCCCAAAGTTGGAGCCCACTGATGTGTGGCATGAAACTGTGTACCTGACAGATCTTGAGTCTCCTTCCCTTCCCACAGCAGCCGCCGCGTAGGGATTTCTTAAGTCCCCGGAGCAGATGCTGAGGGTGCAGGGAGGTAGCCTCCCCCCTCCCCCAGGGACGTGGGCCTGCCCTCTGTGGACAAGGAGTTCAGGCAGTGGAATCACACCACGGGATCCTGGCCTCCCGTTTCGCTCGTGTTTCTCCTTTTTTTATTTTGGCTCCCTCTGTGTAGGCAACAGTGCACCCCGGTGTTGACAGCAAAGGCGGGAGAGCTGCTTTGAGAATCCTGCCGAGACGCTGAAGAAGCCGCATTAAAAGGCCCACTTCATGCCCACACAAAGAAGCTTAGCAGATACACTAGGAAGCGGAAGCACCCCCAGCTGCTTCTTGCACTCCAGGCTGATCTGTCTTGTGCCAGAGAAGAACCTTCTTCACCATGAGGCAGCAGAATCTGCCGAGAGGCTTCTGGGATCGTCTGTATCAGCTGCCCAAATACCCTGGCCCACTTGGGGATCGCTTTAGCTGAGCAACAAGTCATTTTGCCATTTTCCTTCAGTCTTCAGCCATACTTAATCTGTTGACCCTCCTCCAGCCTGCCTCTCTAGTTCTTTCTTGCTGTACATCTAATCCTTTTTCATTCTTGGTGTCTTGTGTTCATTCTGGAGATTATTCTACTTCTAGCTTCCTGCCAGAAGCAGAGTTATCCTCAGCCCTCGTGAACAGGGAGTACCGAGTTCAAAACAGCCACCCTTCTGGACCTAGTCCAAAAAAAAAACCCCAGCTGTAGGACGGCTGAGAATGAGGAGAAGCCCACCTTCTGCAGGCCTGGAGACGCTCCTCCTGACCCTAAAAGAAAGGGTTCCCCCCACATGGGTTGTCCAGCTTCCCTTGGAGGAAAAGAGCTGCCTGGGTAAGGAGAGAATTTCACCAAATCACTGGGTTTTTATTTTATTTACACTGACCAATGCGAGAGCTAAACCAGCAAACACTTTTGGGGAAACAAAACAGCAGGAGAAACACATTTTAAAATGACACAATTTAACCTTGATGAATCTTGCATTTAAAAACAAAAACAACATGAAATGTTGCGTCTCCTATAGTTATTTACCACTTAGTGTGACTTTGTAGCTCATATTTCAGAACTAAACTGAAAACCATGCTACAGT